GGTGAAGAAAAATGACAGCATCTCACCTATTTTTACTCTCACAGTTAGAATACAACAGCCTGTAGGCTGGCAAATATCCAAATGAGAGCGCTCGACTCAAAATAAAGCTTTTTTTTCCCCCACAGAGGAAGTCTTTTTGTTTAAAGGCWGTCTGAGTTGCAGTTTTATGACACGAGGCCAGCAGGAGATGTGACGGTGTTTTAAAATGATTTGTGCTGCACCAATCAGGAGGGCTCCTTGGCAAAAAGGAGGAAAAACTGCAATGAAGAAATGTGATTAGAGAATAAAGCGAAAAAAACAGTGCAGTGTTAGACCTTTTCCAGCCTCCCTCCTTTTTTTCTTTCTTTTTTTTTTATTGAACTGTCATGACTCATGCATTTCCTGGGCTTGAAGGGCTCATTTTAAATTAGTCGAGAATGCTCAATGGCAGGATCACCGGAGCAAGCCCACTCAATATCACACGGCCTGGCGCCTTGTCTTTAATGGATCGTGAAAAATGATGAATGACGTGCTGAGGTCGGCCATCCCAGAGCAACACCTGCCCTGTTTTTTTTTTTTCTTTTCATATTGACAGCACAACACTGAGGCCCAACTGCAGCCCCTTCCACTCCCCGAACCAGGTCCATACAGTGAGACATATTGATCTGAAATCTGCTGTGACTCTAATTTATAATTTCATTTGTTCTCCCTGGAGCTTTTAACTTATTAACTGTTACAGAGTTGAGCACAAGATGCTACAGAGAGCCGGAGGATGCTAACATCAGAGGAAATAAACTCTGCCTCACCTGCTGAACCATAAAAACCTTTAAAGTGCACGTTACATGCATGTGCTTCAAATACAACAAGTCAAACAAAACATCTTTCTAGTTAAGAAACTTAATACACATCATTTTACCTATTTTGTCACATATTTGGCATATTTTCTTTTGAACTTGGCTCAGTAAAAGGGAAACAGGAAGTGACATCAAACAGAAACTCTTGAAAAAACAAAACTCTTTGGTCTTTGTTTCTTAAACTATTATTTGAACTCTGACTCTTCCTCATCTCTGATAGTGACTTGAAATAATTTAAAGCAACATCAGATTCTTCTCTGCAGTGTTGTTAGCTAGCAACACTGCTCACATGCAGGCATTCCCCTTTGACATCACTTCCTGTTGCTTCACATGTGAATATCTCAAGAACGGTTCATTTTAGCGATGTGAAATTTGTTTTGCAACACACTATTAATGTTATATTTTCAAAAATCAATTCATATTTAATACAAACAATTTGATGTCACAGGCACTTTAAACTTTTAAACTAATAGTTTTAAACTAAAATCCTTTTAAGTTAAATTATAGATGGACCTGATTGATCCAGCTTTGAAAATAACTAAATTTATTGCAATATTAATCCGCTTTTATCACGCCAAAGTTGAGTGAATACTAAGACGTTTTGCTAATATAYAATGTTGACTCTGACAGCTCGTGCCAAGGTTTTAAAACAAAATATTGCACCTATTCTTTGAGCACGTTGAGGCTCAGCTGCGACCACAATAAATGCTAGCTARATATCTGTAAAACAAGAGAAAGCCAGCTGCTGAGACAACCACTAGAAGATTAAAATCCATCAWGAKATATTTTGCTAACAGAGAGACAAACAAACTTAACTTTGGCTGTGGAAAATAACAGTTTAAATGAATTGATACCAGATTGAACCAGTTAAAAAATGTAAAGCGTTTCCAACCATCAGTTAAATGTCTTACTTAAATGAACCTACAGCTTTTACTCAGAGAAAAGARAAAGAAACTGAATTATTAGAGGTTGTTATTAGTTGTCGGGTTCTCTGAATAAAACAAATTKTTGTCGCCTGTTTGCTGCTGTCAGACTCTCTGACTGTAACACATCAAGGCAAATGAAAAATAAATGAAGTTCCTCTGGCAGCGGCTCCTTCCAGCGCCTCTGATGTGGAGAACCCAACCGTCGGAGAAGAACCAGGAGGAACGAAACGACGGCTGCTTGTACAGTTGCTGTGGTTACCGKTCTGCAGGGTCTCCTCTGCAGGGAGAGGGGCTTCAGGAGCTAAATTCTGCCTAAAAGTGTTTTGAAGGTGAGCAGGGTGAAAAAAAAAAACCAGATCAGATTTCCTCCTGCTACTTGTAAAGTAGCAGGAGAAAAATTCAGCCTTTAAATGGTTTTTATATTTTTTTTGTAATTTAATTACCTGTGTCCTCTTTGCTATTATGGCATTTAGCACAGCTAAGTGACCAGAATAAACACTAAAACTGGCTAAAATGTAGTGAGTTTTAAAGATAATAAGCTGAAATTTGGTGTGGTAGTGGCTGAGAGTCATCCCAGTCACACACTCTGAGGGCTTAAAGTTATTTCTTCTTACAACCCTTACAGGGGAGAGAAATTTCCAGCGACTTCCTCAGAAACCTCATGCTGATTAAAAAGAATTTAACCCCTAAATACCATGGGAATAACTGCTTTTTTATTGTTTTTTTATTGTTTATGCTTGCTTTACTGACCTTATGTGTAAATATGCACTTTCTTTTAATGAAACAACATAATTAACAATTTATTGTAATTTGATTTATGTTATAACAGTTATGAGCAGCAAACTTTATTTACATCAAGTTTACAAGGAACCATTTTTCATATTTGTTTGTTTTTTTTTTGTAAACTTTTATGCTTTTATTTTGATGTCACAGTTTAAAAAACACCTCATGAGACCTGAGCCTTTTCTGGATGTTCTTTTTTTCTTTCTCTAAGATACAGGGGATTAGTAGGACCTAATGATATAATAACTAGACCCTGTCATGGTACAGGAAGTGTTCCCCCTCAAAATATGATGTCMTCATATGAGGACACTGGGTCTCAAAATGTTACACTTTTTGAGGGATACCTAAGCAATCACCATGCAAAACTTGAGAAACCTCATGTTACATATGTGACATAATTGTAGAAAATCACAGGCCATTTGACCAKAACATCRTTGGTATAATTAACTGGTTGAACAAACGTATCACTTGCAAGAACTATTTGTGGTTGTGAACTGTTCTAAATATTTCCAGATTTGTTTAACAAAAATTTGTGACCAAATATACCACTTAYACTAACTACTTAGATCTCYTTTACGAGGGAGGCCTGGGTCTGAAGGCAACCTATTGTACATGTTTTTGGGGGTGGGGGAAACCGGAGTGCCCAGAGAAAACCCACGCAAGCATGAGGAGAACATGCAAACTCCACACAGAAAGACCCCAGGTCTGAAATGGGGATCGAGCCCAGGACCTTCTTGCTGTGAGGCGTCGGTGCTAACCACTGAGCCGCCGTGCTGCCAATTATAGTCCCAGTGTCCTCAAATGAGGACTTTATCTTTACCGACATTGTACTTTGCTTCACTTGTAAAGAAATGCAATTTTTGCATGTTTTGTAAAGCTAAAGATGCAACTGTGCATAAATATGCTGGTTTCAAACGTGAAATGTAACTTGAATTTTTACTTTTGGCAATATTTTTTACCAGAGTTGTTTTAGAAGCTTTTCACTGGTATCCCTGCCATCTTGTTTTCGCTCAAATGAGTGTAATATTGTCATTAGACCACTACAGGGTGCTGGTAGTGTCCATTAATGAGGACAATGGGTTAAAGTTGAAAAAAATGATGCATCATGGGTAGAGAGGCAAAAATGCAATGTCCACATGAGGACACAGGGTCTCAGGAGGTGGTTTTGAAATATAGTACTGAAGTCTTGATGTATCTCAATAATCCAGGTGGAAAATTCTAAAATTTGTATTTTTTACTGTTTATAGAATTTATTTTCATTTTTAAAGAAATTAATAAAGTTAAACTATACGTGTCCTCTGGATGGGTTCTGTCTCCTGGAGAAAAGA